AAATTCACTTGGTATTATTTCCATGTATCTTCCCATCGTTGTTTAGGATTGCAATCGATCACGTGGATATTAGGACTTAGTAGCTAAGTGGATAATGTGATGGTGTTTAAAACGAAAGGTATTGGGTTCGCGTTCCGGAGTGATTATCAGCCGTCGGATTCAGGTACATCGAGCTGACGAGTATCAAATAGTACGAAACGTGTGTCAAATTGGATTCCACTGCTAGCTACCATACATCCTTGGTAGTATCGTCGATGAACAAGGAGGATCTGATACAGAAGTAACGGCAAGAATCGCAAAACAACAACACCATTCTTCAGTTGTAGCACATATAGAACTCAAAACAACTGTCAACCGACATGAAAGCCACAATCTTCAATATCAACGTCAAGACAGTTCTACTGCACAGAGCTAAAACTTGGAGAACAACCACAAACATCATTGGAAAAGTACAAGTACACAAGATCTTCACTGTTCGTTAACCGAATGTCTTTAGCAACAGCCTACTGTGGGAGAGAATAAACCAGCTTCCATCTGAAGAGCATAATGGGAAAGGATGCTGGAGGTGGATATGACATATATTATGGAGGCAACCGATAACTTGGAATCTTAAAGCGAAACAGAAACAGGGGAGACCAAAGAACACACTGCATCGGGAATCAGAGGCAGACCTCAGAAAGATGAATGGCAACTGGAAACAACTGGAAAGGATTGCTTAGTAGAGAGTTGGATGAAGTTACGGTCAAGTAAACTAATTCCTTATCATTATACTGAATTACTAATTCGATGGAAGACTTTCAAAGAATGTCAAATGATTTATAATTTACCTCGTGATCTTCAATGATCCATTGACTACCGCAGAATTTACTAACACTAATAAGGAAAATTGCTAAGTAATTAATAATTCACCTGCTGAGAAAATCAGTAGTAATCAGTTACCAAATTTCTAATTGTATACATGAAAAAAAATAATTCAGACCATTCATTATACCAATAAATCAGGTATACGGACGAAAAAATTCTTTTCAATACATTTATGCCAATCCCTCTTAAGTATGAGTCTTAAATATTGATTCATGCAGATAGACATAGTTAAAACATGAATGTGAGAAAAAATAAAACATCGTCAGCTGGATGTACTCGCATCTCAGAGTTGATGTTGACTCTGAGACTCGAACCCAGGACCTTTCGCTTCAAACGCCACTCGGCCACTGCTAGTCACTATCCATCTTTGCTTACAATGCTTGTGAATTAAGGCTATATCGAGGCAATACGCACATTATGCATGTATGCCAATTAGAGACTGACTTAAGAAATGGCTATAGATTCTAATAGTATGAGGTTGTGAAGATTGTTGAGTTGTTTATTAGGATCATCAGTCGATCAATGTTAGACCATCATTGAAAACCTGGAAGCACTAAACTGCCGTTTCGTTCTTGTATGGAACTCCTCAAGAGTGTGAATACATGATCCCAAATGAGGGACTTGAGCCTAAAACCTTTGGTCTTGTGGGAACGTTTAAACCCTAGAATACTGAACCGGCGTCCGAACGCGTTTATGTCTAACTTCAACCAATCCACGATATTATGAGACCATCTTCCATAGTTTAAGACAGACACCTGTCTCTACCCGACACAGGCTGGACTCCATTGGTCACGGTTTCTTAAAAGAATTCCAAGAATTACCTCTCGAAGCTAGTCACTAGTGAGCACATGGTAATTTTCAGTATGAGGTTGTGGTGATTATCGAACTTTTAGCTGAAATCATGAATCTTCAACTTGGACGTATTGACGATAGCTATTAAACTATATGTCATCCTTTTATATATCTTAGCTTTTAATTAAATAGATAATTTTGAGCGAATACAAAACTATAATTTCGTGGATATCTGCGTCTTCCTCTTGATATTGGGCAAAATAACTGATCACGTATTTGGTATATGTGTATGCTTACTCACTCAGCCTGATACACCTTTTGAGACACGTAGCTCAAGTTATTTAAATTCAGTAGCTGGATGGATGAAAACTATGTCCTTTGAAATAAATCCTACTGGATTGCGGTCACATTGAGTTGATGAGTCCCGAATAGGACAAAGTGCTAGTCTTAAACTGAGTTAGTAGTCACCACCTAACTTTACGGAATCGTGTTATAGAAATAGGATTTACAGTCATTCATCAGTTAATGTTTTATGATCCCTACATACTCCCTCATGTTCAACATTCACATTGCCCACTGTACCATATAAGTCAACAATTTATATAAATCTTAAACCAAATTGACAAATAGGTAATCAAAAGTCGCTTTCAGTAATTTTAAATAAAACGGAACCATTGACCCTTATCGTTTTGTTTGTTGTCATGGAAACACATTTTGCAGACGTTTTAGGACATGTTTCGATATCATGTTAAAAGTGTTTGTGTTTCTTAATCATCCTAATATAGCAGTATTTTATATCAACCCATATCTTTGTAAAGTATGGATGATAATAAAAATTATTTATGTTAAATTACTGCAAAGTGTTAATTTAATTAATTGTAGAAAGTTTACATTTCCTTAAATATAAATGTTGACCATCTTCCATCTGAAGGGGAAATTAGGAAAAGATGTTAGAGGTGGATAGGATATACATTGTGATGATCTGTAAACTGCATTATGAGGCAGAGGAGAAACGAAGCAAAAGAGTACTAAAAGATTATCAAGGAACACACAGTGTTGGGAATTGGAAGCAGACAAGAAAAGGATGAATAGCAACTGGAAGCAAGTGGAAAGGGCTGGCTAGGATAGAGTTTCATGGAGAATATTGATGATCGGCTTATGTTCCTCTACGAGGGTTAACAAGCGTAAGTAGGTATGTAAGTAATATATATGATTAGAATATAAATAATAACACAATGTTATTTAAAGATAATCACTGACTGTTTACTAGAAACTATTTCACTTTCACCTTTGTTTAAGCGTGTTTGTAAAGAAAGCTGTAATGCATTTTTTCAGTATAATATGGATTAAAATACTATTCCTAAAATAAACTATCCTTTCACGCATTTAGCACAATATCTATTTTAGTATATTTGTACTATACTACTTATTGTTCATATTGAAGTTTATTATTTTATAGAATAATAAGTAACTATACAAATATTTTTCGATGTTTACCCACTAACAATTGAAGAGATCAGCATGGCCATCAGACAAATAAAGAGCGGTAAAGCAGCGGGACCAGACAACATTCCAGCCGAGGCACTGAAAGCAAATGTAGCAGTAACTGCCAAGATACTCCATATTTTCTTCAGTAAGATTTGGGATAAAGAACAAGTACAAACAGACTAGAAAACAGAACTTCTGATCGAAATGCCAAAGAAAGGCGATCTTAGCAAGTGCGACAACTACAGGGGCACCACTCACTTCTCAATACCAGGAAAAGTCTTCAACAGAGTATTGTTAAACAGAATGAGGAACTACGTAGACGCCCAACTTCGAGATCAAGAAGCTGGATTCCATAAGGATCGATCGTGTTCTGACCAAATCGCAACACTACGGATCATTGTGGAACAATCAATTGAATGGAATTCATCACTCTACATCAATTTTATTGACAATGAGAAAGCATTTGATAGAGTGGACAGGAAAACACTCTGGAGGCTTTTTGGACATTACGGCGTGCCTGAGAATATAGTCAATATCATACAGAATTCCTATGATGGATTAAATTGCCAAATCGTTCATGGAGGACAACTTACTGACTCATTCGAGGTAAAGACCGGTGTCAGGCAAGGTTGCTTAATCTCACTCTTTCTCCTGGTGATCGACTGCATTATGAAGAGGTCAACATCTGGAGGGAAGCACAGAATACATTGGACAGCTAGGATGCAGCAGGACGATTCAGACTCCGCAGATGATCTGGCTTTTTAGCCCTCACACAACAACAAACACAAGAGAAGAATAGCAGCAGCTTCAGTAGCAGTAGGTCTCAATATACACAAAGGGAAAAGCAAGATTCCCCGACACAATGCAACATACAACAATCGAATTACAATTGACGGAGAAGCTTTGGAGGATGTAGAAACCTTTACATATCTGGGCAGCATCGCCGATTAACACAGTGGATCTGATTCAGATGTGAGGGAGAGGGTCGGCAAATCAATCGAAGCATATTTACAACTGAAGAACATCTGGAACTCATTACAATTGTCAAACAACACCAAGGTTAGAATTTTCAATACAAATGTCAAAGCAGTTCTACTGTATGGGGCGGGACGTGGAGAACTACGAAAGCCATCATCCAGGAGATACAAGTGTTTATCAACAGTTGTCTACGCAAGATACTTCAGATCTTATGGGCAGACACTATCAGCAACAGGTTACTGTGGGAGACAACAAACCAGATTCCAGTGGAGGAAGAAACGTTGGAAATCGATAGGACACACTGTGAGGAAATTACCTGACTGCCTCACAAGACAAGCCCTCACATGGAATCTTAAAGGTCAAAGGAGAAGAGGAAGACCAAAGAACACATTACGCTGAGAAATAGAGACAGACATAAGAAGAATGAACAACAATTGTATAGAACTAGAAAGGAAGGCTCAAGATATAGTGAGTTGCAAAATATTTTTTCGGCTGCCTATGCTCCATTGGGTGTAACAGGCGTAAGTAAGTAAGTAATGCAGATATTTTATGCTTCTATACAAGATAATTATAGACATTGGTTACGTTTAGTTCTTAAACATATTGAATTACAAATCCTTTAGTGACTAATATAATGAAAATTTATTAGGGGATAACTTGTTAATTAACTATGCCATCTTAGGTACCTAAAGTATGTCTCATGTCGGTTAATAATAGCGATTAGTTACTTAAAAAAAAACAAATTTCTAAGCAAATCAGCAACAACAACAACAACTACAAGAGACAATTAACCAATCAAATTTACACTAAATTTTGATTGGTCAATTTAATTTAAATATTAATTATTCTGTTTTATTATTTTTTCACTCATTTATATTAACAGAAAATACTAAATATGCCTTGAAATACCTAAAAAAAATTTTTTTGGATATTCAATAATTTTTCAGAGAAATTCTTAAAATTTTTCTTAGAAAACTTGGATCATATTTTTATGATATTGAATATTGAATGAATATTTATTCAAAAAAAAAATGGAGATACACAAAAACTTCGATTTTTTTCTTCCCCACCACCTCCTTATTTCTCTCCACTACAAATTCATTAGTTTCTAATTGATTAGTAAAAGAAAAATTTTTCTAATTTTATTTTGATTTTCAAAAAAAAAAAATAATAATTAGAAACTTATACAATTAGATCAAGATCATAATGGATTCAATTAAAATGATTGGATTTTATTTAATTTTAATTATGAGTATAATGATTAATAAAATTGAATTTTGTATTATGATGGATAATTATTTAATAAATAATCAAAATAAATTACGTAAGTTATTGAATTATAGTTTTTTTATATATTTAGTTTTCATATTTAATTAGTTAGAAAAGGTCATTTATGTAATAGTTATATATAGTTGAGATCATGTATCAATTGAAGCTAGACCACCATGGAAAACCTGGAAGCACTGGACGGCCGTTTCGTTCTATTATGGGACTCCTCAGCAGTGCGCACCTACGATCCCGCCCTCGCGAGATTCGAACCCAGGACCTACCAGTTACGAGCCAGAGCCCTTAACCGAGTGCGAGTGCGGGATCTTGGGTGCGCACTGCTGAGGAGTCCCATAAGAAGACGAAACGGCCGTCCAGTGCTTCCAGGTTTTCGATGGTGGTCTAGCTTCAATTGACTCATGATTTCAACTTTGAAATATACTGAAATCTCCACAAATCCCCTTCTAATTAAGTAGAACGTAAATCAATTGTTGGCATAAACATAATTTATTTGTAAACTTTAACAAAAAGCAATCAGGGAAATTGACAGTGCCAATATTTCTTAGTTACATGGCACCTGAAATATTTTAAAAGATTTGTCAAAGAAACATATCGTAATCGAACGATTTTTCCCAACTCGATAACTTGTGAAATCTTCATATTTATTTTAGTTTAATACATAAGCATTAGTACAAGGAGGTACAAATTATACATATGCAATGCACTTCATCATTCCAGTTTTGTGTGGACTACAATACTGTCCAGGTGGTTTTTTTAGTTTACCACATCTCAAGCCTTTGACTTAGAAGCCTAATTCAAAAGGCAATGGATCAACGTTGGAAGATGCATTCCAATTGTAGTGGGTGATCAACAATAGATTCATACGCCATTTGTTCATTCAGAATCATGAAACCCATGTGAACTAATGATTTGTAATGAAGGTTTACCAACTCTTCAATGTGTATCCTCTATGTCCACCAACCTGGTTAAAGCTTCAGACATTCGCTTTTATTCTCTCAATCTCGTAAATAACACCCTCACCTCGAGAAGACAATCAATAGGACTTGTTTAACAAAGGCTGTATACGCATGTCCATGTGAGAGCATTTCCATAAATAAAAACTGACTCTCTCTCCACTCTCAGTCATATCAGGGTCTTGGATGCAATAAATGATTCTGTATATTTCAAAGTTGAAATCATGAGTCGATTGTAGCTAAACCACTATGAAGAACTGGACGGCCGCTTCGTCCTATTGTGGGACTTCTCAGCAGTGCGCATCCACGATCCCGCACTCGCGAGATTCCAACCCAGGACCTACCAGTCTCGAGCCATGCCCTTAACCGATAGACCACTGAGTTTAACTTCAATCGATCCACGAATTTGAGCAACCATTCACCAATGTCATCAGTCAGTTACTATCTTCCAACAGACCTGGATGAACTCCACTGGTCACTGCTTCCCACTAGAACTCCTGGACATATATCTTGAAGTCAGTCACTAGTGAGCATATGATTATAATGAGAAGGGGTTTTGTGGAGATTTCAGTATTTTTCAAAGTTGAAATCATTCGTCGATTGAAGCTAAACTACCATTGAAACACTGTATATCATATGCAACAGAAAATTTTTTCTTTACGGTAACTTCAAAGTATTTACAACTGTACAATAATATTCACATAACAACCTACAATTCAATTAAACAGATTTATGCCCTTATTGATTATCATATAAAGTATTCTCCTGTCATCCATTTAAAAAAATAAAACCATAACCCTATTTACAAAATATTCAATTCGCCGATATTGATTATCGTTTCCCAGATTTACTCCTTTTAAATTTATAAACTTTCATTATTATCTTTTGACTAATTGACTAATATCAATTTCCATGTCAACTATAATTTTGATATCCGCTATTTGATTCAATGTATCTATTAGGTTTGTTTAAATGAATGAAAAATGCAATATTTATATTCCGGAAGTTTTAAATCTGTATATAGTTCTATTAAAATATTTGATAGACTTTTTTATTTGATAGTTTATGTGAAATCATTCAATTTCATTTAGATATCTATACCTGAAGGTTGTGATGATGATGATGATGTCGTTCGGAAGAACGATAAAAGTTCCACGACCAAATCATCTAGCTTAGTGAACAGAACTCCATCACAATATCTATATCTTTTTAATGATCAATTAATCATCATTTAATTTTGATGAAATTTAGTTCTCTAAGCTGGATAGTATGATCGTGGGGCTTTCATTGTCTTTCTGAACGACATCATCAACACAAACGTCTGGCTGAAAATCATTTCGTTTATTTGTATATTATGGTGTAGTGATGCTCAAGGTAGATTAGTTGGTAAAGCTTTCTCTCGTGAGGTATATTTAGGCTCTTCTAGCTAGCAAAGTTCCTTCTACTATCTAACAGCGTTATAAAGTGGCTTGAGATTAGATTATGTTGCTGTATATTATATTCTCTGTAACTCAGCGTTTTTTTTATGAGACACCACCACCCATCATTGCTTGTTGTAGGAATCGTTATTCATTCTGGACTTTATACTAGAATTCAATCTGGCTTTTAAATTATAACTCAACTCTTCCATAGTTCAACCTGGTTGTTCAAACAGTAGTTAGATAAATAATAGATGTTGATTATTCCTTCATTTGAATGCAATTTAATTATAATATAACTATCTATTAACACCCTAATACGTAATTCTGTTTAGTAAAGTACTTTAAAAGAAAAACAGTATGATATAATGGTTAAGTGAATAAGAACACGATTGGGGACAATCGAATGTATCTAATCACAAATCTCATCAGATTCTGTTAATCATACAATAAGCAGTTAATTTGTAAAATAACAATCAATTGTCTCAATCTTCACTGTTCCTTCTGTAAATATAAGTCTGTCTTCTCTAATTTCATTGTTCATACATTTTCATACCAATTGAGCTTCATTTCAATTCTTTCCTTATTGGTCTTCTGCTAAAATACATTCTATGTCTGACCATCACCATATACTACTTATATGGATATAAGTAGACCACACCACACTGGTACTATCTATATTACATCATAATTTCTATTCATGTTTTTTATTAATACAAATTACTAATCATTGTTATCAACAAATTTTACCGTCTGTTTCACCCGACTATAGTAAACTGAATGATGAATATGTATTTGAGATTAATGAATTAAATTAGAATATTTCTGGATGTCATACATAACAGAACAATTCATAAACAATGATAAACTAATTTAGATATGACATTTGATAGGTCCTGAGATCGAATCTCGCGAGGAGGGATAGTTGACGTGCACCGCTGTGGAGTCCCATAATAGAACGAAATGCTTCCAGATTTTCCATGGTGGTCTAACTTCAATTGACGCAAGATTTCAATTATATAAAAAATATTTACCAAATCTTAAATTTTTTTACTTAAACAAGATAAAGAAATAATATGCAATTACAAACAATTTAGTTAGCCATATTCATCAGTCACAATAGTAAAATATCTTTGATTAACAAAATAGATTATTGAACAATAATAGTTTCCAGAGTGAATATCAACTCAAGCGTTATAAGCATAGCTAAGTGAATAACGTGATTGCGTTGGATGCGAACGGTACTTGGTTCGAGTCTCAGAGTGAATAATAATTCTGAGATGCAGGTACATCCAGCTGACGAGTCCCAAAAAAGACGAAACCCAAGTCAAACTGAATTCCACTGCTAACCCCTATCCATCATTGCTTATAAAGCTTGTGACTTTAAGCAATATCGAAGCAGTTCGCATAGGATGCACATATGCCAACAAGAAACTGATCAATTTCAGTCCTAAATAACAATGGTAAAATACAAATAAACAACAAGTGAAAATAATTGTTTCCAATTTTTTGTATTTTAGCTTAGTTAATGAACATATTATTGATTTATGGTTTCCCATATTGATGTATTGCTACTTTAAATACACAGGTTGTATCACTATCCTATACAACTAATGTATAAATATGAACCTTGTAGCCAAGTAATTTTTAAAATGTGTATAATGTATTGTAAATGTGTTGAAGGTATATATCAGATATATCATGTCTTTGTGTACAGGAACAGTTTGTAAAGTACATTACCCTGGTATTTTGGGTCATGGAAATGTCCATTATTTTGGTTTCTAATCATATAAAAACTAGTTTTAAAGTTATTTTGCAATATCTTCCAATATACTGGCAAACATGAACTTCAAGTAGAAGTAAATTTATTCCCTAGATTAGTGACCACTAATATCAATATAACGTTGAATACAAATAGATGATATTAGTATTTATTGAAAGATAGAAAAGATTACATCATAAAGTGATTCAGGATATTAATTATCAAATGAGGTTACATAATAATCAGGGGGTTAGATAAACTTTTGCACTACTGAGACATTGGCAACTCGTCAAGTTAAGCCCGAACTTTACGTGAAAGAATGATATGTCCAACTTCTCATAAGTCCTTGGCCCTAACTCCCTTCTGTTGTATGTGTTTTTAAAATTAGTTTTTTTTCTTTTTAAGCGGCAATCAGTTATTATTATCCTTTAACAGTTCTTTATGATCATTATCCACCTTTCTGTTTGTCATTTTACGTCATATCTGTCAAGTGGACAACTATCTTTTGTATTTCAGACCCATAAATTATTTAAATCCTTCTATTCTTATTTAACCCTCTGATTATTACGTAACCTCATTTGATAATTAGAATCTTGAATCACTTAATAGTGTAATTTTCTATATAATTCTATGAAGTCATATATTTCTGAAACAATTATCAATATGGTTGGTTATTGTAATAGGACAAATGTATATACTCCGACTACACTCTAGTACGAACTTTCGTTTGTCTATATCACCCCAAATGTAGAAAGAATTAGACGGCAAGACCTCGTCAAACTCAGTTGGGAGATAAAAAATCAAGTATATTTTAAACGAAACCAAGAAATCACTTAGTTGGAAATGTAGGGAATATTTATCTTGTGAAAGTGTGAGTATTTCCATCGATTTCTAAAAACCAGTG